ATAACCATTGATATAAGGCACCATGGCATGTCACATTTCATTTCAACAACCAAATAACGATAATTTATGAAAAGCATTCAACCATGCCATAACTTCCATAAACATACCGATATATGTCATAAACATAACATTTCACATTTTAGACACAAACATTACACCCAATTCATCATAGAATCATCAATTGCATAATCAAACAACATAAATGTACAAAAACCCTAATTTTTTCCTAACTAGGTCTGAATGTACCCTTAACCTAAATTAGATAGGTTTTTCAATTTCAATGCCAATTTTTCATGCTAAATCATCTAAATGTACTTTAATAACATGAATTTAACCAATTAAACATCCATAGGCTAATTACACTAAAAAACCTAATTTGAGGCTTGATGGGTCAAATTTCAACCTAAAGGTAAACTAAGTTAATTTTTTAATTCCAATGTAATTGTTCGAGGCTAAATCATCTAATTACATGATAATAACTTATAAACAATCAATTAATCATTAAATAACCAAAAGGATCAAATCCCTAATTTCCTTAGTTTGGGTCGACTATATGCTTAAGGTAACTAAGGGAAAATTTTCAATTCTAATACAATTCCTCATGCTAAATCATTGATTCACACTTAGATAATTCATAATCAATCAATAATTCATCAATTAAACTAAAGAATAAAAAACCCTAATTTTTCCAAATTGGGTCGAATGGTCCACCAAGAATTAAGCTTAGGAATTTGTATTTCTAACACATGTTTTCATGCTCAATTAACACATTCTAACTTCAATTGCATCAATTTTACCTTTAATTCCATTTTTCCTAATTTATCCTAACTAAGAATCCTAGTCCTAATTTTTAAAATTCAAGTAATTAACTTTGAAGAAATTAGGCAAAACAATCAATTAACCACAATTAAACATTTTTTATGATGTAGGTGAAGTTAACTTACTTAAAAAGCTGTAAATTAAGTTGGTTTGCATTCAATTTTTCTTTCCTCTTTTCCTCCTATATTCGGCCAAAACCAAGATTTTTCCTTCTTGGAATTCTTGATCTTCCAACTATAAATTTAGGTTTATTTAAGTGTTTTAAGGATGGTTTAAGTATTTAGGTGAAAACTTAGGTGGAATTCTATGAAAATTTTTGCAAGAATGTCTCTTAAATATTTCAATTTTCTAACCATTTATTCGACCAAATCCCTAATTTTCTTAGTTTGGGTCGAATATATGCTTAAGGTAACTAAGGGAAAACTTTCAATTCTAATACAATTCCTTATGCTAAATCATCTATTCACATATAGATAATTCATAATCAATCAATAATTTATCAATTAACCAAAGAATCAAGAACTCTAATTTTCTTAAATTGGGCCTAATAGACCACCAAGAATTAAGCTTAGGAATTTGTATTTCTAACACATGTTTTCATGCTCAATTAACACATTCTAACTTCAATTGCATCAATTTTACCTTTAATTCCATTTTTTTAAAATTTATCCTAACTAAGAATCCTAATCTTAATTTTCAAAATTCAAGTAAGTAAATTTGAATAAATTAGGCAAAACAATCAATTAACCACAATTAAACATTTCTTGTGATGTGAGTGAAGTTAACTTACTTAGAAAGCTCCAAATTAAGTTGGTTTGCCTTGAAGTTTTCCTTCCTCTCTTCCTCCTCCTATATTCGGCCAAAACCAAGATTTTTCCTTATTGGAATTCTTGATCTTCCATCTATGAATTTAGGTTTATTTAAGTGTTTTAAGGATGGTTTAAGTATTTAGGTGAAAATTTAGGTGGAATCCTATGAAAATTTTGCAAGAATGTCCCTTAAATATTTCAAATTTCTAACCTTTTTCCTACATCTTTTTCACCCATATTTATAGGTGAGCTTGGTTGGACTTCCTCCATGTTTGACTTGATCTTGGCCATTCATTTGGTTTAATCCTAGCCCTTGATTTTACTTTTAATTCTAACCCTTCATTTGTTTTAATCTTGGCCTTTCATTTTTCTTTAAATATTAACGGTCCATTTAACTTAATCTTAACCCTTCTTTTTGTCATCAGTCAAACTCATTAATTTATCCTAATCATGGAGGCTTAAGTGGCGGCAAAATGGGGAGAAAAATCTCTCCCAAATTTGTTTAATTTTAGTCCCTCAATTTAAGAAAATTTTCTACTTGTACTATTCTATAAGCCCTTTAATTTTTAAATTGATACCTTTAGGCCCTTCCTTTAAGGCTTTTCTAACAAATTTTTACTTCCTCAAGTTCGTTCCTAATTTAATTTGAAAGTTCAAGCTTTCAATTTCAGTACAATCGTGTCCCTAATTTTATGCAATTAGGTCCCTATCCATGAATAATTTATTTCACACCTTTCTAAAAATTAATTTATTTTTATAATAAATTCAAAAACCTGCTATAGTAATTTATTCATCATTCACATCATTTTTATACACTTATTTAAGGCCTCAAATCAATTATTTTGTGTAAAAATTCACTTATTTCTTCATAAAATATTCCCTAAGCATAGAAAAATTTACTTAAGTGCATGGAATATTCCTACATCTCCCTAGCAATTTTTCTACGCCCATTGGATAATTTTCATGCACATTTAAAACACTTAAAATAATTAATTTGCATAAAAGCACTATTCATGCTTCGAAAAGTCACACAAAATATTCACTAAATATCGGAAAATTTACCCAATGGCACGGAATAATCTAGCACCCCTCTAACAAATATTCAATGCAAACAAAATGATTTTTATGCACAAATAGTATGTTTAAAATAATTATTTCGCATAACAAGATACTATTTATGCATCGAATAACCAATAAAATATTCATTAGATACGAAAAAATTATTCTAAGCACACCGAATATTCTAATGACCTCTTAGCAATTATCCTCGAAATAGTTTTCATAGACCCTTAATATATTTTTATTTTATTTAGTAATAATTTCTAAGTATCACAATAAATCTCATAAGTTGGCATCGGAGATTGTCTATAGTTAAGGAATAGACAGTGTTCTACCCTTTCCACCGTACAATTTGAGAGGAATGCATATATAAGAACTTTAAAAACAAATAATTCTAAGTTCCTAATCATGTATTCTTTAAAATATTATACTATTTATTCTCTCTCTGTCTCTCTCTCTCTTAGAGAGACACCGAAAGCCTCGATCAAGCCACGCCTATCACTAACTTTATAATGGAAGGATCCTTTAACCCACAAGGGGACTAACTCATAATGGAAGGATCCTTTAACCTATAAGGGGACTTATTTTTGCAGTGATTTTGCGAAATATTATGAAAAACGACTAATCTCCATTTCTCTCATCGCCCATTAAAAAAAAAAAAACTAGTAACCTTAAATTACTTTTCGTGATTTTAGTACTACCGCAATAATAATAATTGAAGTACATATCACTAAATTTCATGCCGATCGTGTTTCGTGGAATTCCTCTTGTCATAGCTTTGTCAACTCGTGACAAAATCTTTAACATAATAACTATAGCGACTCGATAAGCTCCAATTAAAACAAAATTACGGATAAACCATTAACAACACTCGTTTTACCCCCCCCCCCCCCTCCTCGCAAATTGAGAAAATTTTTTGAAATAAAATGATTTTTGCTTCGAGTATGGAATGAATTTTCCGCTAGAGATCGCCTCATTAGGGGGTGTTGAGGTAGCTGCAAAACCGGCTTTATAATATATGTGATCCTAGGCAAAATAATATTTTTCTTGATAATTTTCAACTATATTTTCATTTAAATCGTTATCTTATTCTTCTAGTATTTAGGGTTTAATATTAGTAACAAATCTATCAAGTGCACCTTTTTGGGATTGAATTAGTTCTTCTACCTTTCTTTTTTTCTTACGTTTTTCATATATAGATTCATACTTTCTAGTAGACATTTTATTCAAATAATTAAATTAAAATATAATTATAAAAAGAGTAAGAAACTTTGACAACTTATTATATTTGCTTGCCACACCTAATCAAGTAAACCTGGAGAGAATCACCTGAGAAAATAAAAAGAAATTTGAGAAAAAAATAAAATATTATATGATTTATATACATAATTTTATTTGCATAAATTAAAATATTACCTTCGATTTTTCCGCCAAGCTAATTAGAAAAGGTTTTACAAAAATCCCTAATTGTTTAGAGAAAGAAAGGAATATAATAACAAAATTTGGAGATCTAAAAATTGTTTCACTCATAAATATTTTTTTGAAACTTTTCTATAAGTAAAAATGTCTCACTAAAATAAAAATTAAAAGCTTTTATAAGAAGAAGGTAATCGAAAAGACATCTAGAAAAGGTAGAATTTTTAATGTTGAAATAATAATATCTCTAAACAATGGGAGTCTTTCAATGCGGGAACTCTAGTACCTATGACTCGTTAATAGAGAGAAGAATGATGTCTCATACTTAGGTAGAGACTGCATCTTTTAATTTATCTCATTTTTCAAGGATGTAGGTTTAAGATAAAATTTTAATTGGAGTCTCTTTTTTCTATAGAGACCTTAGGCATAGATGGGCTATGCCTTGAGCCGGCAGTGGGTAGGTGGGTGGGTGAAGGAAGGCATTGGACTGCGTCAAGCATTTCTCATAGAATAAATACGGAAAAAATTCATAGTGAAAATGTTCCTAAACCAACCCCTTCCTTCATAATCATGATAGTGGGAATTCTTCATACGTCATTGATTTTGACCTCATGAGAGGACTTCGTCGCTCACATTAAGAAAAAGTTTCTTCACGATCTAGAAGTTTTGAAGTGTACTAACTCTGTTTAAGAACATACATCGACGACTAGAAAAAGAACTGCAGAGGTCAACACGAAAAAATTTCATTTATATAATATATTTAGATGTGACTTCCATGGTTTATGCTTATTAATTAGGCCACCAAGTTTTGAGTTTCGACTTTGTAGAAATTTTCTGTCTGTACATAATGGAATAATTTGTTCCCCTATTTTTAAAGTGAGACAACTGAAGCAATCAATGCTACACATAAAGATAGGATTGGAGGGAATCATGGAGGAAATGCAAAGAAAAGTTTACCAAGCAGCAGTGGAAGGGAACGTAACTTCCTTGCAGAGATTGCTTGAGGAGGATAAGCTTGTTCTTGATGGATGTAATTCGGATTGTTTTGCAGAGACACCTCTGCACATATCTGCTATGCTTGGACACCTGGAATTTACAAGAAAAATTTTAAGTCGAAAGCCTGAATTTGCTCAAGAACTAGATTTCCGCAGATCATCTCCGCTTCACTTGGCAACAGCAAATGGACATCTTGAAGTAGTAAAAGCACTCTTATTTGTCAACTCTGACGTGTGCTTTGCTCAGAATCGAGATGGCCAGAACCCACTTCATATTGCAGTGATCAAAGGCCGAGTTGATGTCTTGAAAGAATTGGTTCAGACCAAACCCGAGGCTGTTCTTCTTCGAGCGGAAAGAGGTGAGACCATCCTGCATCTGTGTGTGAAACACTACCAGTTGGAGGCTTTGAAGTTTTTGGTAGAGACAATCAAGGACTCTGGATTTATAAATTCCGAGGATGAGGATGGCTCAACTACCCTGCACCTAGCAGTAGCGGATAGAGAAATTGAGGTACGGGAATAACCTTCTAGGAAATTTATATAACTACATGGATAGGAATAAGAACTTTATACATAACTAGTTAGGTGAAGGGACATTAATTAGAGAATATTTTCAAGTGGAAGTGTTGGAATCCTAGACCATATACTGATGTTGCTACTTGATCTCTCTGTCTTTCCTTCTTGCTATGTTGGGACATTTTTCTGTGCCCATACTAACTTTACAAGACTAATTTTCAGATCATAAGTTTTCTGATCCTGAAAACTGCAATAGAGGTAAACGCTGTAAACTCAAGTGGCTTCACAGCATTAGACATCGCATTAGCGCAGGGTCGAAGAAGTTTGAAAGATGTAGATATCCAGGATTCCCTGCATCAAGTAGGGGCTTTAAGTGCAGAAGGCTTCTCTTCAACAGTTCATAGAACGGAAGCTGTCAGGGCCATGAACTTGCAGTCAAATGAGCATGTTATTGCAACTTTACATTCCCGGTTGAGAAGGAAGTTCCGTAGGAGAGAGAACCATCGATTGGGAGAAAAGCGAAATGCATTAATGATAGTAGCATCCCTCATTGCAACCATGGCTTTCCAAGCAGGAATCAGTCCACCAGGTGGTATTTGGCAAGATGATTTACAACAACCAATAGCGCATGAAGCTGGGAGGTCCATAATGGCTGATAAGTTTCCAGATGCTTACAGGTGGTTTGTGACACACAACACTACAGCTTTTGTAGCATCACTCGGTGTGATCTTATTACTGATAAGTGGGTTACCTTTTAAGTGGAGGTTTTCAATGTGGATTCTGATGGTAATCATGTGGGTTGCAATTACTGAATCAACATTTACTTACCTAATTTCCATATATTGTTTGTCTAGTCGTCCTCAGCGAAAAACTTACATTGTGACAGTAGTTGTGCTTAGCGTGGTGATATATGGGTTGCTGAGCATTCTTCTTCTGGGGCATTTTGTACGCTTGATTCCTAAGATCGTCAAGTTTGCGACAAAGTTTACGACACCAAGGGATCGTCGCATTCCGAGAGAATGAGTCCCGCCAACGTCTCGTATCTGCACACAATTTCTCCATCTCCATCAGAATATGCTAATTAATCTACTTTCTTTATGAGTCGATCCTCTTGTTTCATTTCATCTCAATTTCTTGTACCATCTAATTCTGTAACTTGTTTCAGAGCTTTTAAACATGGTAAAAAAATTGGTCCTGTCCTGAGTGAAAAACGGATGCTTGCCCTGGATGATTTCCCCACAATCATATCAGAAGTTAGAAATTAATTTTATCTTATTGAATTTCATGCATTTGTTAGGCATTTCCATGGATATTAACGATGCTTGTAATCAATACCATAAGATTCGTATATTATATGGTAAAGAGATTAATATTAAAATCATTGTCATAAAAAATAATAATAATAAATAAAGTCTCGGTAGTACTATGATCTAGCGTGATTGGAGTCAATACCTATAATATAGGAAGATAATTACGCAACTCAGTTTAATTAAGTCAAAGTCTTCACCTAATCTTTCATGGGTTATTTTAATTGACTCAATTTATGTAGATTCTTTTTCCTCCGCTCGTCTGAATCCAACATAACTGGTTTTATGTTAATTGTCTGTCACGGGCACCGCTCCTTCTTTACTCGAGCTTTGAATCTGTCGCCGCTGTTGTAACTCATTAATACGAAGATTTTAAATAAATAAATAAGGAATTTGGATAATAAATATTACTAATGGAACCGATGTTAAACTATAATTAAGATTTTTTGTATTCCTTGAGTTTAAAGTACTATTGTTTTTAATGTTTTTCTGACCTAAAAGCTTTGTTTGGTCAAAAAGTTGCTCTTAAATCAAATTGATAATAGTAACTCTCCGAACATTAGTTTTATTACTTTATTTTTTAACTCATAACACCATAAAATAATCAAATAATTAACGGCACAACACAGCAATATCAAATGATCCAATAATTCAAACAAAATAAAGGCAATAGTTTTAATTTTTCAGGCTCAAGCAGACAAAGAAAGACCACCATTCAAAGATACTATTAAGCACAAGGTGGACAGATATTAATTGACAAAACTGAAATTTCATATTCAACATTTGATTTGTAATTGAGACCCTTAAATGATGGCATGGCTAATATTAATTGATTAGTTACTTTGTACTTACCCGTAATAAAAAAGTGATTTTTATTATGTCCCAATGTTTAGTTTTTTTTCAATATATATATGTGAGTGATTAACCTCTTTTTTTTTTTTTTTTTTTTTTTTTTTTTTTGAATACATTCATCACTTGAAACTGTTAACTATTGATGTGGCTAATATCAATAAACGCATGGTATTTTTGTACTGACATATGGCAAAAAAAAAAAAAAAAAATAGAAACTAGTTGAAATTATTGAGAACAAAAAAGAAAGATAAAAGCTGGTTTTTTTATACTCACTACACACGATTTCACATGTCATTTGAAACCCAGTATAATATAATTGATCAAAAAGTTGGTGGATTACATGTTAACCCTTGAATGATGAAAATGATATCATTTTTAAACTATTCCACTAAAAACTAAAACAGCTGAAGAGTTTATTGTTGAAATAAACTGTAAATGAACAGTAAACTTTCCCAGCTGTTCATTACTTACGATGGATATTTTTTAAAAATTTTCTATAATGGTATTTTCATGATTTCTTTATAGTTTTTTTACATTCATTTTCAAATTTTACACTTCATATCTTTTTGAGCTTTTATATTTTCAAAATGTATTTTTAAATTCTCATATTTTAAAAAATATTTTGAAATCTCATGTTTTTTATATAGACCATTTTTGCCTCATTTTTTTAAAATATATTTTTTATTTCTCATATTTTTTAAAAAAAATTTGGCCTCTTATGTTTTTAAATTTTAAAACAAATACATTATATTTTTTTATTGATTAAAATTAATCTCTTAAATTTGTTGTTTATTATAAAAAATTTTATCGAATTAATTTTTTTTATGAAATTTTACTTGTTAATAAAGACTAATTTATTATTTAATTTACAATTTAAGAATCTCTTTTTTCATAAATTAAGAAGTAAGATTTATGAGAACGAATTTTGTAGTAGTTTTCATTTCAATTTATTGACTTTAATAAATTTCATACAACTTATATGATTTTTTTCCAAAAAAACATTTATTTATAATATATACTATGAATCTCCTAAGTATGTATATATGTTTGTGTATATGTGTGCGTGCGTGCTTTTGTTGGAAATTAATTAATATCTGCATATATAACACCATTAGTCCATTTGATTCAAAAAATAATTTTTTTTCCTTTTTGCTATATCAATGGTTCTATTTTTTTTGTTTTAAGAAATAGAGAAAGAATAAAAAAAATAAGTAAAAATATGAAAAAAGACATTTTTGAAAATAAAAAAAATAAATTATTCTTGGTCAACACTTATTGAAAAATTAAATAATTTATTTTTGAAACCAAAAGAATTAATTAATTCATTTTTCAAAAATGAAATGGACTGATTTATAATTTAATTTGTAATTCAAGAATACCTTTCACCATAAATTAAGAAGTCAAATTTATGGGAATCAATTTAGTATTAATTTTTATTTCAATTTATTAACTTTAATATATTCCATACAATTTAGATTTAAAAAAAAAAAGAATATTTTTTATACTATATACTATGAGTCTACTAAGTATGATCAGTATATATATATATAGTTTCATTAAAAATTAATTATATATTTGCATACATAACACTAGTTATTTGTAATTTATTCTTTTTTATATTCTAAAATTAATATTTTTAAATAAAATAATTAAAATATATATAATTAGTTTTGTTATAAATTAATTATATATTTGTACACATAACTTCAGCTTTTTGTTATTTGTTCCTTTTTATGTTTTAAAATTAATATTTTTTTAAATAAAATAATTGAAATAATGTTTTGAAAGAACCTTTCAATTATTCAAATACAATTTTTATGCTAATATTATTGATTATTTTGTTAATAAATATATATAAACCAAAAGATTTTGCTTAGTAAATAGATTTGATTTACATTAATTATGATAAATAAGATTTTTACTCACACTACACCATACAAATCATTAACTTTACATATATAAAGATTGTTTGATCGCAACATAGCATGAGTATCCAACTCGTTTGGCACTAAACCAAATGAGAGATAATATTATCTTTGAAATAACTTTTGACATTTTTAAAATTGTTTTACTGTTACTATTTGTCTTTTATATATATATATATATATATATTATTTCTGCCACCTTTATATATTCTATTAGAAGAAAATAATCATGTATTCAATCATGTATTCATTAATATTGACCATAACAATATTTAATAGTCTCAAATGAAAAATATACTTTAAAAAAAATTAATATTAAAGGTTGAGAATTGAAGTTGTAGTTTTCTCTAATTCTAAGCAGAATCTTCTTTTTATCCTTGTCAATACAAAATAGTCATGCATCAATTAATACCGATCATTTCAGTATTTAACAGTTTTAAATGACGAAATACACTCAAATAAAAAAAATTAATTACTTAAATAAATAAATAAAATATTAGACAGTCAATGAATAAATATGAAAAGTTTTACATCGAAATTTCAGTTTTCTAATCCATGGTCAACAGAAATAGAAGAAAACTATTGGCGCAAATGAAGCTAAACTTGGACAGCTGTGTTAATAAAAAGTAGTCCAACCATATTGGAACATGAGTCAGCTATAAATCAACCCTTCTAGTTTTAAGAAATTAATTTTTTATTTTAAAAACTAATTATTTAATTTTTTATCAATATTGATTAAAGATAATTTAATAATATTTAGTTTTATAAAATGTTACCTTTTTCATCAATCTTTCTTTTTTTATTTCTTAAAAATAATCAAATAAATTGAAAATGAGTAAAAGTGGTTATATTACAAGAAAATTTAAAAAATTTAGAGATTAAATACTTATTTTTTTTATTATAAAAGGATTAATTAATTCGTTTATAAAAACTAAAAGGACTAATTTAAATTTACCAAAAAGCAGAGGCGGCATGGATTCATGTAGCCCAACCCAAAAGCGTTAACACCCACAGAGTGGAAAGCTCTGATCAAAACTGGAGGAAAACAAATCAAAGGGCCTCCTCTTCCTCTTCTTCCTAACCCTAATAAAGCGAGGAAAAGTGCAAATTATCCTGTTTCGTGATCTGTTCTCGAAATGATAACAGACACGTGTCCACTTTCCTCGATCCGCAAAACCCTCTCTAAAATCCATACTCTTGTCTTTCCTTTTCCGTTAAATTAACAATAACATACACACTCCTCTCTCCTCTCTTCATTTCGCTTTCTGTGAATTATCCACTTTCTCTTTTTTTCCCTGATTTTCTTTTTGTGATCTGCTTTCACTCTCTTTTTTACCTATGCTTTCCCAAGTTGGGTTTTTGTTCTTTTTTTTTTTCTCATAAGTAACGAAGCAGTGAAGAATAGATCATCACATCCTGATGTTTTTGTAATATATATACAACAATCTTAAGGTTTCTGGTACTATTTTGCTATCACCAATATCTATATTGATTGGGGTTTTATCTGTTTTTATCCCTTTTATGTTGATCCAAATCTGGTCTGAAATTTGTTGGCATAGAAGGAGAAAAAAACCCAACAAAACCGAACCCACCTCCAATCTCTTGACTCTAACTCTTATTATACCTAACCTTTAAATATCTGACTAATATTTCATATTTTCATTTTCTTCAAGATTCAATCTTTCTCCTCTTCCGCTTCAGATTTAGTGTTTTTGTTTTTCAATATACATGCTTGTATCTCCAATTAGTAGTTGAAATATTGAAGACTGAGACTATTTGGATCTGGGTTTAGTTTATTTTTAGTTGGGTTTTTATCAAATTAAGAGTGTCACTGATAGAGCTGAGCAAAAACAAGAGTGTCTTATTGGTTTCAAAAGATCATAACTTTTTAGCTAGTTGAGCAGAAAGGGCTTGTCTTTTGATTGGTGATTTAGTGTGTTAAAAGTGGCTAAGATGAGCTTGAGTGCTGCCGAGGATAATTCGGCATCAGAGATTCATATACCAGCTGATATCGATTGGCATATGCTTGACAAGTCCAAGTTTTTCTTTCTTGGGGCAGCTTTATTTTCAGGTGTTTCAGCCGCTCTTTACCCTGTTGTTGTTTTAAAGACTAGGCAACAGGTTTTGCCTACGCATATTTCGTCTCTCAAATTGTCATTGTCAATTATGAATCATGAAGGTGTGAGAGGATTCTATAGGGGTTTTGGTACTTCTTTGATGGGTACAATCCCAGCTCGAGCGCTTTACATGACAGCACTTGAGGTTACTAAGAGCAGTGTTGGGACTGCAACTGTTAGGTTAGGGTTTTCGGATACTACAGCAACGGCTATTGCTAATGCAGCTGCTGGGTTGAGTTCTGCCATGGCTGCACAGCTAGTTTGGACCCCAGTTGATGTTGTGAGTCAAAGACTCATGGTTCAAGATTGTAATGCTAGCACGATCAAGAGTAGCAAGAGTGTGATTCCCAGTTCCAGTTCGTTTAGGTATATGAATGGTCTTGATGCATTTAGGAAGATTTTGAATGCAGATGGTCCAAGAGGGTTGTATAGAGGATTTGGGATATCAATATTGACTTATGCACCATCTAATGCAGTTTGGTGGGCATCTTACTCTGTGGCTCATAGGCTTGTTTGGGGTGGTATTGGTTGCTATGCCAATAAAAAAGATGAGAATGCTGTAAACGTTGGTGGGGGTTTTGGTTATAGGCCTAATTCGAAGGAAATGGTGGCAGTGCAAGGAGTGTGTGCAGCCATGGCTAGTGGAGTTTCGGCTATGATTACTATGCCACTTGACACAATTAAGACACGCTTGCAGGTTTTGGATGGAGAGGAAAATGGAAGAACAAGGCCATTGACAGTTATGCAAACAGTTAAGAATTTGGTGAAGGAGGGTGGTTTTGCGGCTTGTTATAGAGGGTTGGGACCAAGGTGGGTTTCAATGGCTATGTCTGCAACAACCATGATCACAACATACGAGTTTTTGAAACGGTTATCCACCAAGAACAGAGAGAGCTTGACCTCATGACTCAAGGGCAACAAAAGAGAGAAGAAACTTTTTCCACTTGAAATACATTTTTTTGTTACTTCTATCCTGTGTGTCCTTATTGCCCTGCTCGCCAAGATGGCTTATCAATGTAAATTCTTTGGTTTTCCTTTCTGCTTCCCTGTTAATTGTAGTGGAAATCATTGCAAAATCAATGTAAACTTCTGTATAGTAATAACAAGGCCTTTCTCTCTGTGCTTCCAACTTTACATTTACTTTGAGCTATAATGCCTGTTTGACCAAACGAAATTTTGAATGCTTTGTAGTTGAGATGAAAGGTCCAAACTGTACAGTGTCTGTCTCCTTAATTTTGATGTCTCTCGGCTGTGGAAGAGAAGATATATGTATCATGTAGAAAGTGTTATGCATACTTTATGTAGGGTGAATATAAACATCTTAGCTGATGATGACACTAACCTATCATTCATGTCCGTATATGCATGGAGAGACAATGACCTCCATTTTCTTGTTTAACCAGAATGAATATATTCTGAACTCCACAGTTGCCTCAGCGAAAAATAAATAAATAAAAATAAAAATAAAAAAGAGGCAAGACCTTAATAAGGCAGTTAATGTGAGAAAGTCGTCCTGATGTTAATGGCTCTAAACCAGGAGCAATGGAAGGGACTAGGATCACCGGTTGCAGGTGAGGACTAAAAGCTTCCATTATGAGGTCATCTATGGGCCTGAAACGAGTCTCCTCGTTACACAACATCCATTACTACTGCTAAAATAAGCTATCCAGTATGACACTAGCTTTGTCCTCTTGTACCTCGAATGTAATTTGCATCCTTATTTATTTATTTTATTATATTAATTTAAATTCCAGAAAATTTGTCCTGCCTTAATAAGATTATTGTAAGAGAAGATAAAATAACTGTCTAATCGTTTGATCATGACTGACTAGTGACTAGTAAAGAGAACAAGTTCCCTCAACAAGGAATTCATCAACGAATCTTAAGTGAAAAAGGTACATGAGACAACGTAAAAGAATAAGTGATTGAACTTAAGACTGTCGGTTTCATTACTGCATCTAATATGTAACTAAAATTTTGAGATGTTTTGGTTAAGAACCCCAAGTCCGAATCGGGTTTGAAGAAAGAACCCTTTTTTTGATTTGTTGATGGAAACAGCATGAGAAGAATGACATTTTATGTGACTGACAGATTGTATGGGCAAAGAGATTAGCTTTTGTCTTTAATGGAATCAAGTTGGCAGGAAACCGTGGGCTTATATGGAGAAATCCATCAGCTAACATGATTTCCTATGGACCATCACTCCAATTTTTGCCATTGTTATGATTATTAATCTCTCTGAACCATATAAGCCAGCGGAAACCGTGGGTTTATTGGCCTCACTCTGCGCCTCCGTCAATCTGAGATTATCCTCATTCCTCAGACAGACCACTTGCGTCCAAAGCAAAATTGAGGACCACTTCTAGCTTGCCACATCCCACTGCGCTTGAAATATGACCCAGTATTTGTCAATCTCTACAGGCAGTTACAAGTTTCACCCTCCGGTAATCCTTTACGACTTGAAACGCTCTTTAAAAGCACTTTAATTAACCTTCGAAAGAGTTTATCGTACGTGTCAAAAATGTTTTAAGAACATTTTTCTAGAAAAAGATTCCTATATATATATATATATATACACACACACACGGAGACGGTTAAAGAGATACTAGAGACAAGGCAGACACGGGACTTTTCTCGTGCTGGCTTGAAACTTTTGCGATCACAGGAGTCGGCGAAGGCAGAGGTTGGATTGGGTGGAGGTTTTTCAAAATTGTAAGATGTCCTCACTTGTATGAGAATCTAACCTTTGCTTGTTTGTACGTGAAACGTGGAGCCACATTCCTCTTCTGATATAGGTGAAAGATTCGCACATCTCTAATCTCTCCCCATTTATACTCTGCCATTAGCCAATGGTGCAAGTACTGCAGCAAAGCACAATCACTCGCACAGGCTGGGCAATGCATCTGTGTAGCTCATACAGTTCTTGGCAAAACTCAAATCGGTTGTAGCCCCGAAACGAGCAATTGGCTTTCAGAACTCGGTCATCAACTCACTAATGCACAATGCTCTCACCAAGATGGTGGTTACTTTGCCACCTGCTTCTCCTCAAGCTCTTCACTGCAGTCAGACCAGACCATTGAATGGAAGTTCCATTGGACGAGACCATGAGCCATTCAGACTTCAGAGGCTAGAGAAGAACAAGTCGAATGGAGTGCTGACAATACTCTGAACTGGCACTCGCAATTGGGACAACCAATATTTTTACCAACATCCTGATGGTATTATATCAATTTTGGATACGAAGTGCGATACTGAATGTAATATACCCAGTATAGCATCTTTCTAGCAGTTTTTTTTATTTTTAGTTCTCTTTCTGAGGTCCAAACACTGGTTTAAGAAGTCCGTCATTCAGGCAATAGCAAAGCTAAAGTTGAAAGGTAAGATGGACAGAATAAGCGGTCTTCAGAGAACTGGACAGATTGAATATAAACATAAAGTCACCAAAATAAAAAAAAACACTTAACCCAATTATGGGAAAATGGTTCCCAAGCTGAAAGTGTACCAATATCCTAATTTATGATCAAATAAACAACACATTTTGCAACCTACACATAGCATCCGAATAGTTTTCCTAGATAAACGACATGACTAAGAACAAACCTCACCTACTAGACAGTTAGCAGTCCCACATGCCATAATACACATAGACCAAGCTCTCCGGTCATCGTCATGGTCGAGCTCTCTTGTTGCTGCAGGATGGGCATTTGTACTGCTTAATATGCTCAGCCCTAGCTGGAGTGATCTTAACACATTTTCCATGGAACCACTTCTCACAGACGTCACAGCAAATCCAGAACTCATCAGAGGCATAGTTTTCTCCACAAGCACCGCATAGTGTCTCTCCATGCTCTTCTTCATCTTCTTCATCCAAGCCCTCATCATCTTCATCCTTTGCTTGCATTGCCTTTGAAAACTTGCCCTGGGATTCAGAGCCTCGCTGCACCTCCAATCATAACAAGACACATTGACAACATTATTGTTCTGAAGCCTATAAGAATACTAGGAATCACTAGAAGAGAATTTCCCTTCCATCTTTTAGTGGATTATTAAGGGTCATAATTCAATATTAACATAACAATACGCTATATCAATTAAACAAGCCTAAGTCGTATTTAGTTTCAATAGGAGCAAATGATTAAATTTGGCATCAAATCTTGCATGGTGGACAACTATGATTTCCTATTAGTACAAATATAATAGGCCGAATTAATTTGCAGTCTCAAAGTCCTTGATACCTTAGAGTTTGATTTAGTTTTAGTGCTGCTGTGATTTGAAACCGATGACTTTTCTTTTACTTGTTTCTTAGCCGTTCCAGTCACAACCTCAAATATTGTTGGAAGATCATTTATCATGTTGAAAAGGCGTTTTCTGCATCAGAAACCAAAAGAATATTATTAAAAAAACCAATAAAGCTTAATTCAAGAAATTTCATTTACAAAAACATTGTAATCAAATATAGTTTGAGGCATTGTTAGGAAACTTCAGAGAAGACCAACAAAAGCAAGACTCAAACTTGCTTCGTGGAGCAAGAGGAGTGCATAAAAACTAACACCTTCACTGACCTTCAATCTTGACAATATTTAAGTTTAGAATCTTTTTAAACAGAACATAAATTTCATTTACATGCTTTAAAATAAATAAGTTGCATCCCTTACAAGCAAGAAATACATAAATATGACTAACATCATTTATGAAGGATGATTTTTCACCAAATCACATGAAATCATTAGAGTGGTTGCTTGTTAATAAAACAACTTGTAAGGAATTTCATGACAATGTGCTATAAACCCAATCCCATGCCAAAAAAAGATAATACTAACAAATCCATGTAATTAGCAGTTCAAGACATCAAAATGGTCTACAAAGACATTAAATGGGTCTGCACGGTAGTAGTACAAGAGCAAACTATTGATCAAAATAAATATAGTGGTAGTACTTCCTCATGATTAAAACGAAGAAAAGAAAAAACTTGTGGTTCTTCAGAATAAAGAAAGAATTCTTATTGGTTAAACAGTGAAATGGAGAGGGAACTGGAAGTATCTTCAAGCTAATTGATAAAATCAATTGTAAAACCAGCATAGGACCAGTCACCAATGAAAGCAAAATTCTAAAGCTACTCACACAAAGAAGTCACACGACAGTTGTACCACAAGTTGTGCAAGAGAAATATACCTATCAGGTTTGTCAAATCCAAACCTAGACCCAAAATAGAAGGCCACAGAGAGTAACCACGCATCACTGTGAACAGCAACCAGAGACAACCAGTCCTTTTCTTGCATCCCATCTCTGGCAAAGTTGATACCTAAGGCAGGCTCTGGAAGCTCAGGAGGCACCTCTTCAGCTGGTAAATTGACCTCCCACTGCTCGCTAGGAAATCCATAAAGGCAGAGATTTTCCTTCTCTGCAATCAAGAAATTCGCATAAATTTTATTGAAGCTTCAGATGTCATGAAAAAGACTGTAAAAGTAAATAAAAAATTGTTTTTGGCACGATAACATATGGGTTCAAAAGCCTATAAAAGACAAACACGTTTAAAAAACAAAAGTGGTTCTTTTTATAATGAAGAAGAAAAGAACAAAGTAAAATGCATGTAGACATGGCCACCCAAGAATAAAACATGATTGAATAAGGATGCATGCGGAATAAAGGAAGAAGCTATACATGGACATTAAAACAAAAGGTTCCAATCAATGCAATCAGTTCATCTGCCTACGAAAGCATAAATGAACACAATCCATCTAGATGCTATGTTCATCTTTGTCAACATACCATAATATGCAAGAATAGTTCTGAAGACCTAAACTTTTATCACAACCAAACAGTTCCATGCATATAAAAATACATCAACTTATGTCCATCCACTTAGATTGTGACATTCAAAGCTTCAATTTACAGTGAGGTGGGCAATTCTGGCTTATTTCTTCAATACTGTATTCATACTTATTAAACATATGCACAAATGACCATTACAATACTTAATCTGGGATTTGTTATCATCTACTAGATTAAGTAAATTTGATATACCCTCTTCCTAGCAGTTAATCCAAATCAGCAGATGAATATCTTAGACCGGAGCAGTAAATTAGCAAGATTCCCTTACATCTTCTTTCACTTATCAATACCAGAAGTTGTTAGGCCAAAGTTTGTGCAGCTTATCCTGAAAACATTTCTTTACATCACCCATTAGCCTGAAAAAATATGACTATGCATCCAAGTGTAAATGATAACCACCTTCTAATCAAAGAGACTTAAATGACTACAAAAGACTAGCTGCTCCCACATAACCGGTGCACAATTATGAGAGATTTTTTATACTCTTTCTGCATTAACATCGATTTGTCGCATTCATAATTGTCATGATGTGTAAAATCAATAACACTTTACTGTAACTATGTGCACATTATAATTAAGTAACTCAAATATTTGAACTAATTTAAAACCTCAGCGACACGTGTATACATTTACCCTACTCAGATTATGCCCTTTATGGAATGCAATAATAGTGAATCGATAAGTCCAAACTAATTAAAGAGGTTACTAAAAATCACTGATATCCCCAATTCCTTTCTTCTTTTAAAAGAACCGTTTATGCTTCCTAACGATAGACATAGAGTAAAAGATCAAACAACTGCCAACACAATAACGAATCAGCAATCATTGAAAATATGTATACCGTTACAGCTAGCTAAAAGCATGCATTTCGACATCAACTTTCACTTCAACTAACATTGTTGAAATGCACTTGCAAACATAGTTTATCCATGAATACCAGCTTGTCATTATCAACAGAAGCAATGCATGCACCAGTCATGATTAATAAAGCTACATTTTATGTGCTTCCTTCAGTCATGATACTAAGGATTTTTTCAAAAAAATGAAATTCAAAAATTTTTAATAAACCTAAAACAAGAAAATGTAGTAGAAATATAGCTAAATTCCACTGGATAGTTAAATCAGTGCAGTTCAAAAGAGAGAAACTTTTAGCCAAAGTAATTTAAATGCAAAACAAAAGAAAAAATTCAATAAAAATATTAAATATATGAGGTCCGATTAATTACTCAAAAAATTGAGTTAAAGAAATCTAACCCATTTGTTTTAAAAAATCCACTTCAAAAATTTACTCCAACTAACTAAAATTACCACGTAAGCCACAGTAAAAAGAAAATAGAAAAAGTCCAAAATTTGCCATATCCAGAACCCTACTCCCCCCCCCCCCCCAAAACACAAAAAAAGGAAAAAATTTTCCCAGAAACCAAACGAGATAAAACACGAGAAAATAAACCAAACAGTGCACCATAAACTTTTTTTTAAAAAAAAAAAAAAAAACACTAACCAGGATCACACTGCTGGTAAAACTCTTCAACATCTGCAACAAACCACAAAAACAAAACAACATTAAATAATTCTCCATAAATTTACATACGTAAAAAAACAACATAAAAAATAAAAAATAAAGACAAAAACAAACAAAAACGAGTACCAGTAGTAAGAGCTTTAATCATGCCAGCTCTTCGACCTTTAAAATCCCTAAAAACTTCTTCCACCGTGCGAGGATTATACGATGCTCCGCCGTCCATCGCCACTAATTTACTCCTGCCTAATCAAGAAGACGAGCTTCGTTCTTTTAGAGAAAAAAGGAAGAAAGTTGAAACTGTAGAGAGAGAGAGAGAGAGAGAGAGATCGAGAGAAGAAACAGAAGAGAGGGTAAGAGAGAGAGAGAGAGAGAGAGAGAGAGAGAGTTTTATTTTTTAAGGAGGGAAAGATAAAGAAAAAAATTTGACCTCTTTCTCTCTCAGACTGTCACACAGACAGAGAGAACTGGGGAGAGAGAGAGAGAGAGAGAGAGAGAGAGAGTTGGATTTGAATCGGGAATGAAATGGATCAATTAATCGGATTTTATAAAAGGAAGAGGAGTCCGTGAAGAACCGGAGATGGATGTCTCTCAAAAAGAGGCCCATCTAGGCTTTTTACTTTTTTATACTATATATAGCTAGACTACAGAAACACGCAAATAAGGGTTTTTTTTTTTTTTTGCCCTTTTGTTATCATGGTCAAAGCCCTTAAATCTAATGCCACGTGGGTTTTGTGGGGGTAAAGGCTTGAGGGGTTTGTTATTAGAATGACGATGCAGACTTGTTTTTTTTTTGGGTGTGGCCTTTGTTTTTGGCCCACCAGATTCTGTCATTGGTCTGAGATGGCATTACAAAGGCCTGTAGGACTCAGAAAGCTAATAGCAAGGCAGATTCTCCTGCTGTGTGTAACAAACAGAAGATGATGCTGCTACAAAAATACCATATTTCACAGCAGCCATTCACCATTGATGCTTTGATTACAAACAAACTGGTGAACAAGAATGATCAATCAAAAGGCAGAAGCGACAAAGCCAAGTTTGAATTCTTCGTCCAATTATCCACTGGAGTGCACAAATGGAGATCTGTGAAGACTTTGATGTAATCCTTAATCTTCAAAAATTTTATAATACACAAAAAGTAATTAATGATATATACAGTAATTACTCCATGAGCTTATTCTGAGAAGAGAGATAAACACATTAGATTATATCTGAATCCACAAAAAATGATAAGAAAATTTTCACGTTCGCTTAAATTATTTTTTTAATTTTCTCTCTCCTTTTTTGTGTCTACCTCTCTTCTCAGAATCGGTCCATGAAGTAACTACTGTACATATCACTAGTTACTCCTAATCTATTATAAAATTTCTCCTCAATCTCATCTATGATACATGAGAAAGGAAGCAAATTACAATTATGCATTAAACTCCCTCGTTTTGCATTGAGGCAGATGTCGCATGAGAATGCCAAATCTAGCTGCCTCTAGAGAATGCCAGAAATGCTGGGAAGCTAATGGAAACTTGAGTCCATGTCATCACAGCACCTTACATGACAGAGGTCATAAAATGCTAAAACATTCTTTTACCATGAGACTTGCTCATTCTCAAAGTTTGTGACATAGCAGAACTTCATCTCTAGCAAAGCTTCAAATGCTATCAACTGGTTCTCCCTTTATTCAACTGAAAGCAGAGCATATTCTGAGCATTAAGGTTAAAAAAATAAGCCAAAACTTCAATTTGTTTCAGTCCAAGGCAATTTCTCCTCCTCCCATGTTCATTAGGGCATATTAACCTTTTAGTAGTCCAGTGACTTGCCAGATCAGATTCCTCTCCCTGAGTGTTTATTCAATTGATCATGTAAAACACTCTGGTAACTGTCCACGTCAACTAACGAGCATTTCCTACACATCTCCTTTAATATTTGCTCAGCCTCAAAAACTTTTCCCTTTCCACACATCAGGTTGATAAAAACCAGAAAGCTCTGCACATTAATGACATAATTCTTATTAATTGACTCATAAAAAACCCGCATTGCCATTTTCTCGTTGTCAGCATCACAGTAACCACTAACTAAGCAACTATACATGGTTGCATCCATCTCAAAACCATCCTGAAGCATGTCATCTACAAGCTCTGCAACTTCTCGCATCCTACCTTGGGTCCTACAAAGACCACATATCACCGTGCTATATGACACAAAATTTGGAAGGCAACCCATATTCTTCTCCTGCCTAAGAAGAAAAACTGCTTTATCAAGCTCCCCAGTCTCCATAAGAATCCTAAGCACAGCATTGAAACATCCAACACTCCGACTAATGCCCTCAGCCTGCATTTTCTTAAAAAGGGAAGCTGCTTCATCGGGCTTCCTCATCTTGCAATACACGTTAATCACAACTCCGTACTCTTTTGCATCAAGTTTCATTCCTTTTCTAATCATCTTGTTGAAATATCTAATAGCTTCGTCTGACTTCTCGGCAACAGAAAGGCCCTTCAAAATACTCAAATGAGTTACAGCATTTTCTTTCACTCCATTCAATCTCATCTTTGTCAACAACTTCCTGGCCTCATCAACATTTCCTCTCAAACACAAGCCATAAATAATAGCATTATACGTCCATAAATTCGGCTTGCAACCCCGAATCAACATCCCATCCATCCACTTCATTGCTTCATCGAATTCCCCTTTCTTACAATAACCATCAATCAAAGTACTGTAAGTAACCGTATCCGGAAAGCAATCATTAGTCTCCATCATTCTACAAAAAAATATCCTTGCATTCTCCATATCACCCTTCTTACAATACCCATTAATCAAAGTATTGTAAGAAATCAAATTAGGCTCACAAATCATTTCATCAAACACTTTCCTAGCATCCTCAACCATGCCCACTTTGCAGAACCCTCTCATCATTGCTGTATAAGTTGAAACATCAGGCTTTACAATAGCATCATTCAGAATTTGATCAAAAAATGTCTTCGCTAAACTAATATAACTGACCTTCACTAGCACACCCAAAATAGCATTCCAAGAAAACAAGCATTTCCCTTGTTGAATCGCTTTCACTTTATGAAACCAAAAGATTGCACCTTTCACATCCCGACTATACCCATAAGCTCTAATAAGTTTACTAACTATAAGATCAGAAAACATGCCATGTTTTTCAAGGAGGTTTATGGCAATGGAAAAAAGTGAGTGGGAGAGGAGAAGGTCAATGATGGCTACATAGCATTGGTGATTGTGAGTGTACTTTTTTGGGTTTGGGTTAAGGTTTGATGCCCAGTTGAAAAAGAAGAGGGCTTGGTAAGGATTGGGTTGTTGTTCTTTGATGACTTCAATGACTAAGTTAGAGTCTAGGTGAGAGGAGAATTGGTTTAGTGGGGTTGGATTGATGTGCTTGGGGTTAAGATTTTGTGGGGTTAGGGTTTGGAGACAAGAGGTTATGTTAGTGACCAGGGAGGTAAGGTCAGAAGAGCGACGTTGGCGGGTTAGGGTTCTTGCTGCTGTAGTTGGCATAGCCATTGGTGCGACTGAAATGAAACTGAGGCTGTATTTGTTTTCGAGAAAATAAGTTCCACGAAAGTTTTTGTTTCGCCCCTGGGAAAAAAAAAATCAAGTTAACAGAAAACGATACAACATTTTTAGGAAAATATTTTTTTTTCTCTTACGAGCTGTTTTACTGTCATATCACTCATATCTCTCGATATATCATAATAATTTTTTTCTCTATCTTATTTTTATTTAAAATATATCAAATTAATTTTTAATTATTTTTTTATTTCTATTAATATTTGATTTTTTATTTATAAATACATTAAATATTCTTAAAAATTATTTTTACATCATAAAATTATTTTTATAATAAATATTTCAATAATTTATCTTTATTTTTTTACCATTGTCTCAAACACCACCTAAACTATACTTAAATGATTGAAAATGATTATTATAAAACTTTATCATTTATGAAAAAATTGAAATTAATTAATTCATTAATAAATACATTATTTTCCCAATACTATTCATTTACAACTAAATTAATAATTTGTAATTTTAATCGGTTGTAAAATTTTATTGGTAATTGTGGTGAATACTTAGTTACAAATTATTCCAACATTAATCTTTTGAAACCAAATGAATAATTATTTACAAATGATTACTAATAATTTGTAAAACTATTTTTTAGACTAAATTATCATTTCAATTTTCAAAAAAAAAAAAAAGAATTCTTAATTGAATTAGCAAAATAACAATACTAGGATTATTTAGAAATTTCTTTTTTTACTAAATATTAACTTAATTTTGTCCCAAGTAATTTTGATAAATTGATTTAATAATTAAAAATATATTTTTGATTTTTTGATTTTTTGAATTTAAATATTAGATTCAGTATTTATAAAAATTTATTAAATTTTTCCAAATGCATCTTATATTGTGAAATTGTGAATATATCTTATTGAAGTTTCCTCAAAACTCGTTGATGTAATAATCACATACTCTTTTTGTATTTCAGTTTTCCGTATCAAACAAAAGTTGAAATATATTTTTCAATAGTTTTTTTTTCATATAATTGCCAAACGCTAGAAAATATTTTTTTTGAAAAACAACTTCCGAAAAATAACTTCTTTATAATTGATTTTCCTCTAAAAATTATTTTCCGCCAAATAAACGTCGAAATGGAATTTTAGTTTTCAATTATTGAGAAGGGTATATTTATAATTTCCATCGTATAACTCGTACATGTATAGATACAATATAGCATATACGTGTGATGTAGAGGAGTATAGTCACATAGATATATAGTTTGTTAGAATGAGCAAAGTAATTGTAACAAACTCATTCCGTCGATTAACAAATAAAAGAATGCATGGGTTTGCTCGCATTCTCTCTATTCAACATGGTATCGAAGCATAGCGATTCATCATCTTCTTCTTCCCAAGGAAGCTATTAGCACTCGAATCATATTTTTTCTAGCATTCTCTCCGAGCTTGATAGTTTGTTCTTCACATCGAATTCATGGCGAATCAAACCATAGCTACCGATTCTACAAGATCTGCGAGCAACAATTTGAGATGCAAATGATCCTCTCGTTTCTTCATCCATCGAATACACCAAACCTAACTCTTGTTACGCATTTGCTACGAGGAGAAGATAATTGTAGCTCCTAGAGCAAGGTTATGATGATTTCTTTTGAAGCGAAGAGCAAGGATGGTTTTATGATCGGCAAATGCTTCAAACCGGTATTGATTCACTCGATTATAAACAATAGAAGAAATGCAATGCTTTGGTTCATGCTTGGTTATTAAATTCAGTATTCGCATAATTATTCAATGGATTAGTTTACTATCAATTTGTCGAAGAAGTTTGTAAAGACTTGAAGAAAAGATTTGATAAGCAACACGAGCTAAGATTTTTACTCGCATAAAGAAATTAATTCACTAGTATAAGGAAATAACGAGTGTAGCGATCTATTACTCAAAACTCGAAACATCTTTGGGATCGGTATGATTCCTTGATACCTACTTTAACTAATGTTTGCCCAAGCTATCGCAGTGAGGTCACTCAACCTTTTGTTGGATATACTCAACAACATAAGATGATGTAGTTTCTAATGGGTTTGAATGATCAATTTCAATCTGTGAGATCTCGGATTTTGTTGATGAATCCGTTACCTAGTCATTCATAAGCTTACTATATGGTCTCTAATGAGGAATTGCAGGGGGATGAATTCACATCAAAAGGCACCAACTGCATTTTATTCTAATAAGAGTGCATATCCAGGGAAGCAATTTGATGACAAAAGCAATTGACGAAAAGAAATGATTTGTGATTACTCGCCATAATATAAGGCATAATATAGATACATGCTACAAGCTTCATGGGTATCCAAATTCCAACAAGAAGTTTTCCGAAATATCAAGGGGAGAAGATGAGCAAATGTCAATTCCGGAGGAGATAGACAAAGATATTATAATGCACACAATGTAGAGTTTGTAGGGCACGATACCGCCAATACTCATACCGATCAAGGGATACACTCGATTGATAATGCAAATCGAATCACATGACTAGTGCTAACAAATTGTGTTCACCTCCTACATTTTCTCACCAACATTATCGGTAGATATTACAATTATTATCCGGAGAGGCTAATTCTGGAAGAGGTAATTCAAGAGTTGAATTAGTTGCGAATATGGTCGATGAGTTTTATTGTAGCCTTCGCGACATTACATCTAATGATGATGAGTGGGTAATGGATATTGGTGCTAATGTTCACATGACTAGACATTTTGATTGCTTGAATAATCCTAAGAAATTAGCATCATATTACATTGTTAGGTTATCTAATGGCAATAGAATTCAAGTCACTCATATAGGTTCAATCTTTTTTCTTCCATACAACTCAAAAATGTCCTATACTTACTCGATTTCAAATTCAATTTATTATCGGTAGCAAAGTTCACTACCGACAATGATTTTCTAACATCTTTTTATCCATGTTTTCATCTATTTCAAGAACTCAAGACTAAGAAGACAAAGGGGATTGGTAATGTTAGAGATGGTTTATACTATGTCACACCAAAAACATTCAAATTTGTCACACCTTCAACTTTATTTTGTTTTCAAACTATCGCTTCGTTGACATTCCAATTTCACGGAGGTCCGGTACATTTCTTTGTAATAAAGTTAGTCCTAATACATCATGTTCGTCAAACAATGTAATACTTTGGCATAAACATTTTGGACATATGTCATTTTCAAGATTGAGTTTGATTCTTGGTATATCGGTACCTACTTTATTCGACCTAATTCATGTTGGACTTTTCTTATGAAAACCAAGTCTTAAGCATTCTCATATCTCCAAAAATTTTACACTCTTGTTCAAACCTAATTTCTTTGTAACATCAAAAGAATAAGATTAGATAGGGGCTTTGAGTTCCTTCAAACCGATTGTCAAGCTTTCTTTTCTTCCAAAGGGATCTTTCATGAAACAACTATACCTTACACTCTTCAACAAAATGGAGTTATAGAACAAAAGCATAGACACTTTCTCAATATTGCTAGAGCTATAATATTTCAATCTCATGTTCTTATTCGTTTTTAAGGTGAATGTATTCTTACTTCTACATACCTCATTGATAGGACTCCTACTCCTTTTTTGAAGGGGAAAACCCTATTTAAGCTCGCTATTTCATAAGCCTCCGCATTTTCATCATCTTAAAGTATTTAGATGTCTTTGTTATGCCAAAGTTTTATCATGTCCCGATAAAATTTTCTCCCGGATCCAAGTCGTGTGTTTTTTGGGATATCCTTACTTACAAAAGGGATATAAAGTTCTAGATTTAGACACTCAAAAGGTCTTTGTCTCACGTGATGTATTGTTTCATGAATCTATCTTTCCTTATCATCCATCTTTTATTTTTTCCGATAACGATCATGTTCACACTTCTATAATCACTAATACTAGTCTCATCTTACAATGGACTTATGATGATGATCCACCATCTTATTCCCCATCACCATCTTCTATTTTTTATCTTAATTTTAATATCTCACATAATCCCGTTGTTTCACATCAACCTTCATCCGATCCGATCCCTCCTCGTAGGTCTCATAGAGTTTCAAAACTTTCTGTTTGGACTAAAGATGTTTCTTGTCCAACTCTGCCCCAATCTAATGCTACTACTCGCATTAAATCCTACCGTCTCATTTCCCATCACATATTTCCTTTCTTTCCATTCATTTTCTCTAGCTTATTCTGTCTTTCTTACATCCATGTCATCTATTAGAGAACCTAGCACTTATTTTGAAGCCATTAAGGATTCTAAGTGGATTGATACTATGACTAAGGAGCTTCAAGCTCTTGAATTAAATAGAATATGGGACTTAGTTCCTCTACCACTAGGGAAGCAACCTATAGGTTATAAATGGGTCTATAAAGTGAAGTTTAACTCTAGTGGCGGTGTTGAGAGGTATAAAGTTAGATTGGTAGCTAAGGGGTATACATAACTAGAAGGCATTGATTATAGTGAAAAATTTTCCCTCGCTATTAAAATGGTGACTCGTCGAACTATTATTGCATTAGTCGTTATCAATAACTAGCCTCTTTATCGGATGGATGTTACAAATGATTTTCCGTAGGAAGACCTTCATGAAGAGGTCTATATGACGGTACCTCCCGGTCTTAGAACTCGGGGAGAGGGCTTGGTTTGCAAATTACTTAAGTCTCTTTATGTTGATGACATCTTGATTATTAGAAGTGATGTTAATGGTATCCAACGAGATCAAGACTTTCTTCAATGAAACTTTCTATATTAAGGATTTAGGTAGTCTCAAATATTTCTTGGGTATAGAATTGGCTCGATCAAAACAAGAAATATGTTTTAGTCAAAGGAAATATGTTACGGAATTACTCCATGATGTAGGTTTATTGGCTTCAAGACCAATGGACATGCCCTTGGAACCGAATCTAAAGCTTACTACGGTTATATTTGATGAAGCACTTTCCAATACTATTGCGG